CGCCAGCCCCTACTTCCGCGCCATGTTCGCCGGGCAGCTGCGCGAGAGCCGCGCCGAGCGGGTGCGCCTGCACGGGGTGCCGCCCGACATGCTGCAGCTGCTGCTGGACTTCAGCTACACCGGCCGCGTGGCCGTGAGCGGCGACAACGCCGAGCCGCTGCTGCGCGCCGCCGACCTGCTGCAGTTCCCGGCCGTCAAGGAGGCGTGCGGGGCCTTCCTGCAGCAGCAGCTCGACCTGGCCAACTGCCTGGACATGCAGGACTTCGCCGAGGCCTTCAGCTGCGCGGGGCTGGCGAGCGCGGCGCAGCGCTTCATCCTGCGCCACGTGGGCGAGCTGGGCGCCGAGCAGCTGGAGCGCCTGCCCCTGGCGCGCCTGCTGCGCTACCTGCGCGACGACGGGCTGTGCGTGCCCAAGGAGGAGGCCGCCTACCAGCTGGCGCTGCGCTGGGTGCGCGCCGACCCGCCGCGCCGCGCCGCGCACTGGCCGCAGCTGCTGGAGGCCGTGCGCCTGCCCTTCGTGCGCCGCTTCTACCTGCTGGCCCACGTCGAGGCCGAGCCCCTGGTCGCGCGCTGCCCGCCCTGCCTGCGCCTGCTGCGCGAAGCCCGCGACTTCCAGGCGGCCCGCTACGACCGCCACGACCGCGGGCCCTGCCCCCGCATGCGCCCGCGCCCCTCCACCGGCCTGGCCGAGATCCTGGTGCTCGTGGGCGGCTGCGACCAGGACTGCGACGAGCTGGTCACCGTGGACTGCTACAACCCGCAGACCGGCCAGTGGCGCTACCTGGCCGAGTTCCCCGACCACCTGGGCGGGGGCTACAGCATCGTGGCGCTGGGCAACGACATCTACGTGACCGGTGAGCGGCCGGGCGGGTGGGCCCGCGGGCCTGGGGGCCACCGGCTGGAGCCAGGAGGCCACTGCCGGCCCTCCCGCAGCTGGTCGCCTCCTCTGTGGGGCTGATGGCCCCGGAACAGCCCAGGGCTTGGCCAGAGCTGTTTGTGAACCGGGCGCCTCGCAGAGCCCCGCCGCCCCCCCCCCCCCCCCCCTGTGCTTGCAGGGTACTGCGCCCACAATGGTGCTTTCTTTCCCTGCCTGAGGAGCCCACACCCCGCCGGACACCCATCCCCCCGCTGGCCTCCTCACCGCCGAGGCACGCCAGCCCCCTGACATTCTGTCACCTCTTTGTCACCGGTGACGAGCTCCCTGGGGCCTGCACCTTCGCGGGTCACATGGTGCCGCCAGTCCCGCCCCGTACTGTAAACACAGTCACATGCTCGGAGCTTTTCCTCCAGTTACTTGGCGCAAACCCCAAAACACTGCCGAGTCATGATGGGCGGGTCCGCCAGCCCGCCTGGGCTTCAACCACACTGCACACGGAGAAACCCCCTCAGCCCGGGGGGCGGCCAGGGCCTGGAGCAGTCTGTCCCCGGGTAGCCGCCAGCCTAGGACACCCGAGACCTGTTGCACCCCCCAAGGACGGCTGCTCCGGAATCCGGCCTTTCCGATGTGGGGTTGGCCCGTTTGCGCCACAAAGCCGCCGGCCGGCCGAGAAGTCCCTCCCAGAACTGGTCGGACTGGCCCCGCTTCGCACATTTCCATAAATGTCTCAGCGGCTGGCCGCCACCCCACCCAGCTGCCTGCCGACCTGCCGACCGCGCAGAGCTGGGTTTCTCCCTGTGAAAGCTGGAGGCAGACAGGACGGTGCCGGTGCCCCAGCCTGGGGCGTCACCCGGTGCCCGGTGCCCTCACCCTGCGCGGTTCGTGGGTGGACAGGGCTTCGTTCAGTGCCCGTCACCGCTGGCGGCCCCTTGTTGCTTGCTTGCTTTTTTGTTCTTTTTTTAAAGATTTGTTTGTTTATACATGGAAGAGCTGGGGTGTGGACCAGACCTGGGGTGGGGGTGGTGAGCGGACTCCCCAGAGACAGTGGAGGGCAGAACAGGCGGACAGACTGAAACCCACTGCTGAGGAAGCAGCCGGGAGACAGACTGCAGCGGAGACGGGGCGGCCTGCTGCGCCCTGGGGTCCCTCCCCGGCCGGGGCTGCGGGGCTGGGGCAGCCGCACAGGGCCGCTCTAAGCTGCTGGCCACCGGCGAGGGCCCTTTTTTATTTTTAAGATTTGTTTATTTATGCATATAAGAACTGGGGTGTAGACCAGAGGTGAGAGGGCTCCCGGAGGCAGAGTGGGGAGCAGAACAGGTGGGTCTGCTGAAATCCACTGCTGAGGGGCGCTCCCTGGCCAGGGGTGGCGCTCAGGCGCAGGGCTGAGACTTGACCCCTGCGCCACCAGGGAGGCCCTGAGGTGGCTACTTCACCTGAGGCCCGGCTGACCGTCCTCTGGGCCTGGGGTCCCTCCCGGCGCTGCCCCAGCACGTAGCCCCCACCTTCATATCCGGATGGGCTGTGAGGGTCCTCCCGACGTGGCCCACTGGGCGGTGCCCGGCTGACACCGCCCCCCACGCCCTGCAGGCGGGTCCGACGGCTCTCGGCTCTACGACTGTGTGTGGCGGTACAACTCCAGCGTGAACGAGTGGACGGAGGTGGCGCCCATGCTGAAGGCCCGCGAGTACCACAGCTCCTCCGTGCTGGACGGGCTGCTGTACGTGGTGGCCGCGGACAGCACGGAGCGCTACGACCACAGCACCGACTCCTGGGAGGCCCTGCAGCCCATGCCCCACCCCCTGGACAACTGCTCCACCACGGCCTGCCGCGGCCGGCTCTACGCCATCGGCTCCCTGGCCGGCAAGGAGGCCATGGTGATGCAGTGCTACGACCCTGGCGCCGACCTGTGGTCGCTGGTGGACTGCGGCCCGCTCCCGCCCTGGTCCTTCGCCCCCAAGACCGTGACGCTCAACGGGCTCATGTACTTCATCAGGTGAGTCCCCGGGGCCCTGGACTGACGGGGAGACTGGGCGCTGGGCCCGGTCTCGCTGACCTGGGGCGCAGCTCTGTGTCCTGGGAAGGTTTCTGGGAGCACCTCGGAGTGCTCAGTCAGGGGCCCTAAGTGGGGCACCCTCGTCCTTCTGGACACCTCGCAGTGGGGTCCCTTTGGCTGGATTTGCTCCCAGAGCAGCCCCCTGGGACGCCACCCTAGAACCCCCAGGGGTTCTTGTGTCCCCGAGGCCCGCCGGGGCCGCGCGTGGGGGAGCGGCCCTGCACCTCCAGCCCCGAAGCCGCCCACCTGTGAGGTCAGTGAGTGGGTGCCAGTGCAGCCTGCACCTCAGCTTTCTTGGGGGCCACGGGCGTTCCCCGGTGGCTCAGGGTTGAGAACAAGGGTGTCCACCTGGGTCCCCAGGAGGTGGCCTGGCAGTGAGGGGCCAGGAGCTGGGCGGTGCGCCGGTCTGGGGGGCCGCTGTGAGCAGCGCCCTCCCCGTCTCCACTCAGCCTGGGCTTTGGCGTGGGGGCCCAGCAGAGTGGGCTTCGTGTCTCGGCCCTCCCCCCCCCAGGCTTCTTGGGTCGGCCACCCCGCAGCATGGCGTGGCCTGCGCACCTGGCGGGATCGCCCCGCCCTGAGGAGGCCCCGGAACCCCAGCCAGCACCTGGGCTGCTTATGAAACAGCCTCCGACCTTCGCGCACACCCCTGTCCGCTGGCCGCTGCTATAAATATCACCAGAGGGCCGGGCCTGCCGGGCTTCCAGGCCCAGCACCCTTGGGAACGGCCTCGCCTGTGGCCCCCGCTCGCACCCAAGGGCTGTTCTGCCCCTTGGGCAAGGGACGTGAGGCCGGGGTCTCCCTGACGCTCTGTGCTGACTCTTGGTCCCTAGACCCCTTGGGGCTTTCACCACCATCTGCACCCACACTGGCCTGGGCAAAGGTGGGGGTCCCAGTGCACTCAGCCCCCAGGCTGCACTGACGCCTGAGCAGAGTTGGGGGCCCGCTGAGCCTCCCCGCCCAGCCCCAGGGCCGAGCAGTGGGGGGAGCTGAAGCTGGGGGATTAGGTAGGCCAGCGTCCGCCTGAGGTGGGGGCGAGCCTGCTGCCTTAGTTGACCCCAGCACCTTCGCCTGCGTTTCGGGGGCCGTAACGCTCCCGCCCCTCCCGTCTGGAAGGGTCCACAGGAGGGCCGCGTGCTGTGAGGCCTCCGCTCCGGTCCTGGCCGGAAGGTAGCCCTTGGCTGGGCTGTCCGGCCCTCAGACACCGTCCGTCTGTCCATCTGCTGGGGGAGGCAGCCCGGGGGCCCCGGCCGCCCTCGCCGCCTCAAGCGATGGTTTCTACAGTTTGAAGTGCTGGGGGTGCTGGGGGTCAGCGCAGGAGCAGCGCCATGTGAGACGCGCTGCAGACCTGAATTCCTGCCCGGCGAGGCGTGGACCCTGCGCCCAGCGCCTGGCCTGGGCTCCTGCCTGCCCGTGACCTCCTGGCGCCCGCTCTGCCTGTCACTGCAGCCGTGGGGCGGTGCCCCGGAGGACAGCGGGGCTGAGGGGCGGCCCCCAGGGGAGTGAGGGGCGGCGCTGGTTTCTCCATCCTGGGACTAGGGCACTGGGCGCGGAGGCCACAGCTGTGGCGGACAGGGCTGGGGCCGCGGCCGTGGGGCGGCCGTGGGCGGGGCAGGCCTGGCAGCCTGGAGGCCGGCCCCTGCGTGGGTGGGCGGGTGAGCAGGGGCGGGGTAAATTCAGGGTCCTGAGGAGCCGAGCCCCGGGCTGCGGCTCAGGGCTGGGGGGCAGCAGGGTAGGAGGCTCTGCTCCGGCCAGGTCACGGGGCCGGGCTTGGGCTGCACCCCCGGGCCTCCCCACAGAGGGGGCCCGAGGCCCCTCCTCAGCCGGCCACCCGCGACCTCACCGCCCCTCCCCCCAGGGATGACTCTGCCGAGGTGGACGTGTACAACCCGACAAAGAACGAGTGGGACAAGATCCCGGCTATGAACCAGGTAAGTGCAGGCCACCGGCACTGGGCAGCGTCCCGGTCACCAGGCAGTCCTGGCGGGCAGGGCTGAGCGGACCTGCTGGCTCATCTGTTTGCACTTGGCCGCGCACGCACGGAGACCTTCAGTTAGACGCCAAGGTCACCTGCTACGAGCCAAGCTGGGCGCCCGGGAGGTATCCACAGCGGGCCGGTCGGTGCGAAGGTCCCAGAGGGGCGCGGGCTTGTTCTTGGGCCGCGCCGGCCACGCTCTCGCAGGACTGGGGCTGGGACGGACGGGACTGAGCGCTGCCGAGTCCCCGACCCCTTCTCCCTGGGGAGGGGCCTGGGTGCCCGCCGCCCTGCCGCCAGCCTCGCTCACCCGTCCCTGCCTCGGCCCGCAGGTGCACGTGGGCGGCAGCCTGGCGGTCCTCGGCGGGCAGCTGTACGTGTCGGGGGGTTACGACAACACCTTTGAGCTCTCAGACGTGGTGGAGGCCTACGATCCGGAGACCCGGGCCTGGAGCGTGGTGGGCCGCCTCCCCGAGCCCACCTTCTGGCACGGCAGCGTGAGCATCTTCCGCCAGTTCATGCCCCAGACGCCCTTGGGCGGGCGCGGCTTTGACCTGGACAGCGGCAGCAGTGACCTGGACCCCGGCCGACCCCGGCCACCACAGGACCCCAGCGAGCTGCACTAGCGCTGGCCTGGCCCTTGGTGGGCCTTGGTGCAGGTAACCGGCACCTCTGGGGGGCCGAGACCCCCTCGTGCGCGTGGACAGGCGGGGCGTCAGCTCCTGGGCCACGAGGGCCCGGGGATCTGGCGCCCCGAGTTTCTAGAGCGTGGGCTCAGCTGCTTGGGCCAAGGCCTGTGGCGAAGTCCTGCAGCGCAGGTCTCCAGCTCCGGGAAGTCGCCCAGCTCACCGGGCAGGGCCCGGGGTCCTTGCTGGCCGCTCCTCTGAGCCCCTCCTGAGAGCCTGGGGGCCCTGGAGGTCCGGAGCCAGGAAGACGGTGGCCACAGCAGGGGCCGGACTCCACGGCCTGCTCCCCGGAAGAGCAGGCCTGTCTGCCCCAGGCCCCCGCCCGGCAGGGGTCTCAGCAGAACACCCCTCAGGTGGCTGCGGGGGGTGGGCCCAGCCTGGGCAGTGGGTGGAGCAGGAGCGTGGTCCTCCACGGGGTCCCCCGCCTCGTGTCCT